GTGCTATTCGAGGCGTAATTCACCCATCCCTTGCACCTGGGCGATTAATTAGAGGCTAAATGTTCAGAGTATCATGGTCATGGCTTTGTTAAATGGACCACATCTATTATAAAACCTACTGTCAGCCAACTAGCTCCAATCGATGCCTCGTCTAACCTGTCTCTATTTCTAATACCAAGTATATGATTTGCCATGCACTCATTGCTTGTGTGCCAACCTACAAATGTTGTTGTACTGCTGGCTTTGATTAGGTTCAATGTTGAACCACAACGTTTGCGGGTTAGCACACAAGAGACTTGGCAACACCATCTTGGTCTTCATACCTTATTTTACTAGTTAGAAATTTTTCGAATCATATTATAGTGCATGCAACTGATTTTCACTATGTATTTGAGTTTTATACCGTCTTTCAAGAATTTTTAACATGATTTAAGTGTTTCCATTTTAACTTTAAAATGCCTTTTTTATTTATTACACAATCTTCTTTTATGATTTGAAATTGAAATTATTGCATTCATTAGACTATTCATCACGATTTATTGACAAATTTTTGAGTAAGCCTTCTCGCAATGTCTTCCCATTCAGTACCTTTGTTTCACGCATAATCCGTTCGAGCATTACTGCAGATAATTTGTATACGCATGGACATGAATTAGTTTTCGATTATTTATACATTTTTACTTAGAGTAACATTTTCATACAAAAATAATCAATTTGTTTTGGATTATCTTGTTAAAAATGTGAAACCTTTAGTATTCAGTAGTAGGCCACTGCATGAACCAGTTTATCTTCTAATCTTATTCCTACAGTGTAATAAGGGCATTTCTAATTGGAACTATAAGGTCGAATTGTTAAATACATATATATATTTATAATATTGTATCTCAACAATAGCTAGCCAACTGTTATCATCCTTATTTTTCCTTTTTTTAGCCCTATTTCAAATAGTCTTGCATGCTTAATTTGTTTGACTAGCCCTTATTTCTCCTATATTTATTCTCAACTTTTGTGGCAACTAAATATTTGACTTCTCATGTTAATTTAATAATGTATCTTCCTCATATTGAACCTACATTCATTCGCCATAAAAACCCGAGGATTTACATTTATTTACCGACTTCCTTTGTGTAACCGACAGAGGTACGCGCCATTGGCCACAGTGTGGAGCCTCCAGTTCGTGTTGTTGCCTGTCAGCCGGCACAACATCCACAAACTCGTCTCGTTTTCATCCGCCATCTCGTCCGTCCTTTCACGGCAAATCAACTATCGCAAATGATTCGCAGTCAGTTTTACTGTCCATCTGAAGAAACTACTGGCGGAGAACGCATGGATTCCTCTGAATCGGTATTTCCGGAATCTGAAGAGGCGGTTAAATCGGCTTCAGGAAATGTAGTTGAGGAACTCTGGCTTGATCGAGTCAAGTCGACTGCTATTGTTAGACTACACAGTTTGGAGGTTGCTAAACGGTATGAAACTATCTGTTTTTATATTTGAAATAATAATGCTAGTATGACACAGTCTCGGTCAAGAATTTGTCTTGGGTCATTAGGTCTTGAGGATCAGAACCTGAAATTTAACCTTTGACGACTCTGATTTAGGAACCGTATTTCATATAGACGCTAACACGCACAAATACACATACTCATACAATCGAGCAAAAATAATAGTACCAGTATGAAAGAAAATTAACCAAGCCAATCTATATCGAGCTAAGTTTTAAATTTTAAATTTTTTGCTTGGTTGAGTCTATATAAGAAGTAAGGTAGAGCTGGATAGTGTTCTTGTTTTAATGTTAACGTGAGATTTTTGCAAGAATGACACCCAGCTCAGATCATGTCCATCATATGATGGACGATAGCTCTGCAAGTTTTCATCCGAAACAAGGAAGTCTCGTGGACTGCGTCAACATGAATATCGTATAAAAGCCAAACGGCTGCATTACAACAAGATTTATCCGTCCTTATCTGTTAAGATCGACCAACGAATCTCTTCTTCATGCACTTTTATCCGAAATGGAGGTCAACCTAAAAATAGTATGACACACTTACCCTCTATATTTTAAATGCTGTTATTTAAGCTACCAATAACGGATTATAAATAAAATCTGATTTAACTTTAGATTTCAACTTACATGTATTTTATAAATTGCATATGTATCTACTGTGGAAATCAGTTTGTTTCCACCTAAGTTTTATTAATACCTCTAAGTGGATTCCAATTCCATCATGGAGGTTCATTGGTCTCTGTGCCAAGCGATCCTGATGTCTTTGATCTAAAAAGATAACATTGCTTTTAAATAAATGTGCTTAGTATAGATTTTTTCTATAAGCCTTATTCATTTGATCACATCTTTAAATATTGAGTCGGATTAGCGAATTTAACATACTTTTTGTCCGGTGGATGCTATTCAATGAAATTACCCCGACTAACTAAATGGAAAACTGAATGAATGACAATTCATTCTAACCTATTTCCATCTCTTATCTCTTTTTTATCTAGGTTATTTGAAGTTTAGATACTAGGTTTTTGTTCTGATGTGCCAAAAGTGACTTTTTTCAATCTTTATATGCACGAAAATGAATTGTGAGTTGCTTCAAAGCTTTTCTTTTATATTCCACGATCTGCTGTTTGGGTCGGCTAAAAGGAACTGAGAAGGCTTCACTGTGTTTTATACAGGTTTTCTTATAGTAATAATATCTAACGAAAATTTTCAATGGCCAGACATTCGGCAACATGATACAATA